CAGTGCCCGAATTATGAATGAAATAAAAACAATAATGATGTTAATAGATGGTATATGCAGTTTTTCCATTCTACTTTCTATGCTACCTTGGTAATGGTCAATGGATTTAAATCAAATCAAACATTCTCTACTTCAATCTTTTTATTTTAAAATTTTCAGCTGTAGGAAACAAATTTGTAGGATTTACTTCAGTGCTGTATTAGTATTGGTTTAAGTGTTAAATATCAAATAGATCTTGATCATCTCAGGAATTGAATTTGTTTACTCCCTAATATCAGTTTCTGCATCAGCCCTTTTTTAACATACAGTAAGTGCCAAGAACAGGCACAGGATATAACATAGGATATGAACAAAACACAAACAAAGGAAAATCATTGAGATACTTGACGTCAACATGTAAAGATTGAATTGATCCCGTTTTAGATGGTTAAGCTGAGCCCTAGAATTGTGATGCTAAGGCAAAGAACAAAAGACTGAACAGCTTGTGTAGACGCTGCTGTTGTCGTCGGCTGTGCGGTTGTTGTAGTGGTGGTTGTAGTGGTGTTCATGGTTGGTGTCGTTGTTCGGACCGTGTAGGAACAGGAGCCTACATTGCCCACCTGATCCACAACTACTATCTCCACATCAGGTGAACAACAAGACTCTGTATACGACACCAGCGTTGTATTACTGGGGGACAGGCTAGTGTTCATGGTCCCGTTGCCTTCTCCTACTCTGATGGTGGCGATGCCCGACCCGTTCACCCCGTCGGTCACTTCCGCTAAGAGCTCCCACATCGATGCGCTGCAGTTTGCAGAGCAGTTGGACTGCAGGTTGAGCAGCTGACACACTGGCTCAGTGAAATCAGTCACCTGTGGAAAGAAAAAAAAAGTCAAATCAACTCGTTTTCAGCAATTCAAAAAGTAAAAGCACTGATGAAGGGTGGAATGATTTTGACAGTTACCGGGGTGAGGACAGTCAAACGCAGAACAGCATAGTTGGTGTCTGTGCCTCCTGGAGCACTGGCCTCGATGGTCAGGGTCACATCAGTGCCCGATGGAGTGCTAGCAGGTGCTGTGATGTTTACTGTGCCATTTGCCCAGCTTCCAGTGGTCAGGGATAAAGTGGATGGGAATGATAGCGTAAAACCTTGGTCATTGGTAGCTTGGATGATGAAGTTTCCTCCTGAGCCATTTTTCAACACAGAGAAAGGAACAGAGAAAGGTACTCCTGGTTCCAAAACATCTTCTGAATCATCCTAACAAAAACAAAAGGAAAACATTCAGTAACAGGTATAAAATCAAAACTGCAATTCTTAGTTTTTAGCCGGACGTATTTTACTTACAGCAGAAACAGTCACAGCAGAGGCTCGGAGGCTCGAAGATGACTGCCTTTGGAATGATGAAACAGCTCTGGAGGATGCGTTGCCACTCTGGCCTTTCACAAGCACCACAAACTCATTCGATGGAATATTGTCAAACCTAACAAAGTATTTTCCTTCTCCCTGAGCCTCCACACTGCCATTAACCGTTCCTGACGTGGAGGATTCCACCAGAGTCACTTCTGTCACTGTGGCAGACACACTCCCGGTAATCGTCACCCTCAGGCTAGCGTTGGCACCTTCAGGGTTAAAAAAAAAAGGAAGAAAATCTATTCAAGCATATAGAAGTTGATCAATTTTATTTTTCAAGTATCACAAAGTTCTGGGTCCTTTACCAGCTCTGGGGCGATTTTCCAGGACATCAAAACCTCCCAATGGGCCCTCGGACACCTCCAAAAAGTCAAACAGGAAGTCGATGGAACTCTCACCTGCAAAAGAAAAGAGTTGCAAAAGTGAAACATAGCACACATAAATCTGTGCGTGACTTAATTAAACGTAACGTCACTTCTCTAAGAAAATGACTGTATGTGCAAAGTGTCATTGCCAAGCTGGTTGATTCATTTATCGATATTTTTACAGCTATAGTTGACAGGTTGATTTTATGGCTCAGTGGTTGGCACACATCTTCCATCTTGAGGCTCCTAGGTTCAAAACCTGCTTGGCCAACACCCTATAACCGGTAGTTTGTGTGAAGTTAAGCGCTAGGAACAACAATAGCATGTGTTTTTAAGTAATAGCAGGTTATTTTGTGATTTGAGAAAATAGTCCAGTCAAGATGAAGGACATACAAGAATGTAATCTTAAGTACTCATTATGTGATTGAGCCACATAATCCCGGAGGCCTCACCTATGACCTTCACAGTGTAGGCAGCTGTTGACACCATTCTTATTTCCCACAGTCCCACTTGTGTTGTCAGCTGCAGAGCCTGGAAGTTTCCCACTGACTGGGATGAACTGATCAACGGTCCTGTCAGGTTAGCGCTGCTCTGAGACACACCTAGAGAAAACAATTAACGAAGCACACTGGTTAAGTAGTTAATAAATGGTTAATAAACACACACTATATAGCTTTAACTAGTGACAATGTCAGATCACCTGAGGGACTGATGAGAGTAAAGGTGGCGGAGAGCTGAGTGATGTAGATGGTTAGGTTTTTTACTGACTCGTCCACTGTGAAAGTGAAATTGTCGGATTTTCCAGGATTCCTGGTCGCTTGCAGAAGGATGACCTGGAAGATTAATCAAAACTGATGACACAATTGAATCTTTTTAAAAAAATTGGCTACTGCCAGTGTGAGCATTTTGTTTGTACCTGAGCGGAGTTGGAGGACTCCGTTACGATGGTGGTGGCTGTTAGCAACTGACTTTTTGTGGTTTGAATAGCCACACCTCCCGAAGCCTGAGCCAGGTCTGCGTACACCTGGGAAGATGCTCTGGTTAAAAGTTTGGGTTGTTGTTGTTGTTGTTGTTGTTGTTGTTGATTGTTGGTATCATTACTCTCTCTTCGACGACGCAACCCCAGGCGGCCAGTAATCATGAAGTACACCTAAAAAGAAAGTAGGTAAATGAGACACTGAGACAAGATCATGTAAAATTGCAATAAAAACGTCATGTATTATCAATCTGTGAAAAGATAAACGCTTTATATTCGGCCAATTAAACAACCGTACTTTATAACCTAGCAAGTAACACGGCATAAAAGCCTTTACAAATCTTATTTCAATCCTGCTTTCCTGTTATAAACATCATGAAAATGACACTAGTGCTGGTAAGAGTATTGTGTTTGTGCCTAGTTACAACCAGGGAGTAGACCACTAACTGTGGACTGTTGGGCATGGTGCACACCTTTAAAGTTTAAACAGTGCGAGGCACACTCACACCAGTATAGATGAAACTAAATGCTCCATTATCATAAATATATGAAGTTGGTTATATAAAGTGGATCATTATGATAATTTTGGATAAGCCCAACAGTCATACGACCATCTTTGCATGCTAATGTTATTATGTTATAAATTTTATAATAGGCAGTTATTAATTTTTTTATTTATAAGTAAATTATCAGATAAAAATCCAGCATGTACTTTAACTCGAACATAGGACTATACTCACCACTGATTTGGTTCGTTCTATGAGTGCCATCACTGCAGGTGCCAGGTAATCGTCTTTAGCAGTTGCATCAGTGAAGAGGAAGATATCAGACCCTGGAGGAGCACCAGTTAAAGCCAGCTGTATGAAGGAGACAGACAGCACCAATGTAGTTTGTTTTGAACAATTATCAGGTTTTATTTTGCGGGGGACAGATCTTGAAGCAGTCTCAAAGATTTCAACAGTACCCGAAGTCCTGAAAGACTCATTTCTGGAGAATCTCCTCCACCAGTTGCAGTAAGTGAATTGATAGCTCCCTTGAAGACATCTGGGTCTGTAGTCCTCGTCAGGGGCCCAAAGTCTTTCATTCAGGTTGAGACGAGAGGTGAGAAATTATTCGATTTTTCATTTTGGTGAGTAGTTTGCAATTTTTGTTACCATTCTCACTTTATTATTATATTTATACTTCGTACATCATGAACTTGCAGTATAAAAACTTCAGATGCTGTGCTGCTGTGATGGAACTTGACCAAATGATATATCTGATATCCCATTAGCTACGATTGGACAATAGCTAATGTTAGCAGTCGCCACCAGGGGGCTGTCATGTTTGCCTTCTTCTTATACAGTCTATAGTTAATATGACCTACAAGACTTCAAGGTCCCACCTGGATCATTGAACGGTACAAGAATGTAAACCGAGGGCTCGTCCTCTGTCCCCACTCTGCTGTTGATTATAGCGGTTGTGACGATCCTCACTGTCGCAATGTCATCGCTCATGCTGCCTGTGGTGTCGATCACAAAACAAAGAGCTTTGCCTTTGTTGATTCCCATCAGCCTGAGGAATGAGGAATCAAAAAGTTGAAAATAACTTAGTGATTCAGATTTTTAAAGTGCGTACAGTAACTGTGACTGAGTGGTTTCTTACTGTAGGAATGTGGTGTCACCGGCAGCCCGTCGAATGTCCTCCAGCACCTGACTGGTCGCAGCAATGGCAATGTTTGCTGCCTTGACGTGCAGATGTCCGTGTTCAGAGTCATTCTTGTCTTTGTTGATCCCACCCGTAGGATCAATGCGGCTTGTAAAATCATATATACCTCCATGGCTGCATTTTCCTGTTTACCATTGGAAACAGAATAAGATTGACATGCTCAGCTCTACACATGCGTCCTCTATCAGTGACAACATTCCGTTCACTGTGTCTGCCATTTGGTTGTTTTATTTTTTTCCAGGATTACACAAAAACGACTTCCCTGGTGGTCAGATGGGCTTTGTTAGGTATTTTATGTATAACTTAAATTAAAAGAACATATAAGACAATTATTTATGTTGCATATCTATTGATTTATTATTTATTTATTATTATTTATTTAGATGGGGAATATCCCTTGAATGTTAGCATTAAAGCTGTCTTGTATGTGATTGTGCGCCTCCATCCATCTACAAACCCTTTCTCCCAGTTTCATATGAGGTCATAGTGAGCACTGACCTTGACCACTGAAATATAATCAGAAAATCTTTGAGATTAAGTGACAACTGGTCAAATTTTAAGAAAGTCCCCAAAGATATTGTGTAACAGTGATCATGACCTTTGTCCTTTGACCACAGGAATCAGTTCATCCTCAAGTCAAACTGTACATTACTTAGCAAATTTGAAGAAAATCCCTCAAGACATTCTTGAGATATCGTGTTTACAAGAATGGGTTGGACGGACAACACAAAAACATAATGCCTACATGGCCACTGGGTGTCGCCAGTGAGGGGGAATGAAAGCCACAGCATCCACAGGTTTATCATTGTTAGATGTCAACAAAAAGTCAACATTTCAGAAGAACATGCTGTGAACATGGAAATCAAACCTGAACCCAGTGATGCAAACAATATATGTGTAGCTTGCAAACACATTGTTAGATACCCATACATACATTTAATTGATGGTCTGAAAAGAGTCCACTTGGCTTGACGACATACAGCATGGAATGATGGCACTTTGGCAGTTTGCTTCTATTTGCAAGATCTGGGCCTCAAGTAAACCATAGCAATACCGCATGTTAACCAAGGGGGGCCCGAATTAGTTTGTGCTATTTGGACCATATTTACCATTTGCCACAGGGGCGTCTTTAGGTTCACATCAAGATTTCACCTTGCCTAGAGCACCGCAAGTTTGGCCCATATTTGTTTTTTACAAGTGGACTACTTTAGGCCCACATCTTTCTGCTATCTGGGAATCACAACCATAAAACTAGCATAGGATTCAGATCCTGTCAATGGCCCAGTCAGGTAGTTTCCTCAATGATATGTTAGATTCTGTGAAGTACATGAAGAAATTTACCCTCAGGTTTGGAGGAAAGAGGAACAAAATCAAAATATCCTGTGGTGAGTATGTTTTCCCGCAGGATATCCTCCAAAATGTTGTTCGTGCAGTCGTCTCCGTTGCAGCTGCGACAGGTTGCTCTGCTTTTTGCTGTGGATTAGATGAGATTAGATTCGGTTTATATGCTGTTGAACACAATAAATTTAGCATCAGACCACATTGAGAACACACCAGAAAGTTAAACCGTGGTGAATTTTTCACACACGCTGACATTATAGCTCTGATGCATTTACCTGCGGTTTTTCCGATGCTTCCTGATTTGATCAGCTTGGAGTTTGGAGTTGTTTCTCCCATTTCCACCCAGTTACTGTGACTGTAGAAATCCTTCAGATTTAAAAAGGTAAGACACAGTAGTTATTTTCACAGAGATCCCCAAAAAACATTTCATGCAATCAAAGCACAGTTTTTCTTCATAAATTACCTGTAATAGAGATTCATTAATACAAAGTACCTGTAAAGAATGCAGCAGTCTTCCCAGTTTTTTCCTTGCTGCTTCAAAGTTCTGCCGTTTATTGCTGGCCTTCACGGCTGATAATCCATCCGTGATGAGTTTCTTTCCCTTCTTGAATTCCTCATTGTCGAAGTGATGGCGGGCGCTGTAGAAAAAACGTTTGTCTATCCATACATTGTTGTCTTGGATCAACTGGATGGTTTGGAGGAAACTCTTGGAGGATTTTGATGCATCACACGCACGAGCAACCGAATCAGCAGTGTAAGGCCGTTTCTAAACACACACACACACAGTTTTATTGCAGTGTAATGTATAATAATATTTATAATTTATTAGTAAGAAATCTGTTTAATTTAATTTGATTAAACTCTTACAGGTAATATGAACCTTTTGCCCGCAGCCACAGCGCGGCAAACAGCCAGCGTGGTTTCGAAGATGGCGCTCTCAGTGATCTCCTGATGATTCAGAGAGTCTCCATCAAAAATATCAAATGCATTAACTCCAGTCTGCAGCAGCAGGAGACACAGTGCAGCCAACCAACCCATCATTGCAGCACCTGTGTGATAGACACAAGGGAAAGATTAAAAACTGGGTTTCAGTTCAATTTCATTTGTATAATGCCGATTCCATCGAATGCCAAATATACACCCATATACTCCGCAGCCAGAATATGTTTAATTAATTGTATGTGCTGAACAGCATTAATCTTTCATTTCTAACATAATAACATAAGTGAATTTCGCGTTATTGTATTTTTCATGTGTGATGAAGACACTTTGTAAATGTAAGAAGCACTCAGGTGGAACTTTTGGCATGGAGCAGTTGCACCCAGGTGGTCTCGGGGTTCCTTTATCCTTATTATTATTATTACTCCATTGTTTTGTTAAAAAGTGCTCTATAAATAAAGTTATATCATTAATTTTAGTTCCAGGCTGTTCTGGTATATTGATGATGCATAATGTTCTGCAACGTTGGAGACAGTCTTGTTTTAACTTGATCTGACAGCTAAAAATGATCTGACCATTCTTTAGAGTATCACGTTATCAAAGTTAATCCTGAGATCACTGGGACAACAACATCACAACATGGCAGAGCAGACAACCAGCTAATGAATCTATTGTTAATAAAACCTGCCAAACAAGTTCACGTCTAATTTTCAACTAATTCACAGTGGTGAATTTTACCGATGAGATTTTTTCAGTACTTGCATTTTTCTCAATTCAAGAAATTTACTTAAACATGACTTTACATATTTAGATAATTGACACAAAAAATGAAACCAACAAATGAACAAGTATACCTTATTATAAAGTAATGTGATGTCAGGTGATTTTCACAGTTTTAACTAGAATAAATGTTGCTAAATGTATATTAAGAAAACACACAAA